CAACATGTCTAAAAATTCTTTTTACAATAGCTCCAAAACTATGTGTGGTATTAAGTCAAAATGTTTACAGTTTATAAATATATCATTGATTAATAGATAGAAAGTATCACTTGATAACAAATATTTTTAAAAAGATATTTTTTGAGAAAAATTGTATCAGAAAATGTGCATATTTAAAGAGAAATGCACCTGCTTAATTCTGTCCTTTTTGTGAAATACATCATTGCAGAAATAATATATGTTTATCATTGAAGGGCAAGTTGGATGTGAATAGTCTCTGAAAGGCTGTTATTGAAAGCATGACATGTATAACGACAAGACCCCTGTATAACCCGCCATTTGCAATGTACTTTCGCTTTCAAGTCTTAACATTTGGACAAAATAAACAGGGAAAACAACTTTCCAGAGGCTATCCAAGTCCAACTTGCCCTTCATTGATAAACATATTTTGTTTCTGTAGTGATGGTTTTCACTAAAAGCACGGAATTAATTAAGTGCATTTTATGAAAAAATATTTTTTCTCAATCTAAATATATTTTTTTATCAAGTGATACTTTCTATCTGCTAATCAATGAAAAATTTATAAACTGTAAAAGTTTTAACTTTATACCTCACATAGTTTTGGAGTTATTGTAAAAATAAATTTTTGGACATGTTGACCTTTGACGAAACCTTAATAGCAAGATAGACCAATGGTTTGAGTGAGAAGAACTGCAAATCCCCGTGCTGGTGGAGACAGCATTCGCTATGAATAGAAACATTTGACTTGGGTCCTTTAAGGCAATAATAAATTGACAATGCAGTTAATAAAAAAAGTTTGTCAAACATATGACATACAATATGGAAGCATTGAATTTTGTGTTATAATTTCGAATAAAAAAAACCCACAACCATAATATCAAGTAAATTTAAAAAAAACGGTACTTCCCACCACTGCAACTTTGTTCGAATTTATGATGCATATATAGTAGCATCGTCGAATACCCACGGGTGATTTTTTTTCTTCTTTTTCCTCATCTTTTAGTTATCACCTGTGGGCAAACTCACGGAAATGAAAAAATTCGTGCTGGTCCTGGTGTGATCCAAGGACGCGAAAGACAATGGTGCTGGTTAGATGTTAGGGCGGAGCGGTAAAGTCCTTTTCTCCAGGTTGGCATGGCGTTGTTAAAGATAGGTCATCTTGGGGGAACTCTCTTAGTTAATGGTACTCAGGATCAAACTGCTACAAAATATTTGCAGCAGTCCCGGGTGTTTTACCCTTAGGATATCTCCACCAAATTATCAGTATAATCACCGGGGAAAATAAGTGTAAAACTTTCCGGCAACAATAAAACATAAAAATGCTAACGACGGAATAGCACTTTATAATAAACGTAGGTCGGTAGGGTGAATTCTGTAAGTCCAAAAACTGCACCCGAACATTCCGAAGCCTAGGAGTTAACTGATAAACAATGATACATAAAGCATATAAATAATAAAATATAACAATGGCAATTAGCACAATTCTGAACATGAGTGACAGATGAAACTCACGTCATGTTGAGTAAATTTGTTTCAATTGACACACTGAGTTGCATAGTAATTATCATAAATATTGTAGTGTTTCAAGATGTTAAAAGTAATTATAGTTACTAGTAATTAAATGTATATTACAAAGTCTGCTAAATGTCACTATAATTGCTTTTATAAGAAATCACACTGTGATATATATATAAAAAATTAATAATGATAATATACATTTATTAAAACTGGTTTCAAGGGCAATATTATATAGTTTGACCTAAGAACCAAACTGTTTGTTTGCCGGAAGCCAAAAGGCCGATGGCAAACAGCTTGTTTTGAGGGTCTGACAAACCACGTTTTGCCCAAGAAGACAGTCAAGAAATGTTTTGTTATACCTTTCCTTTTCTTTTTTTGAAGTTCTGGCCTCCATGATGTAAATTTCCTTTTCTTGAACTGCAGTGAAACTTGGTCAATTATGTTACTTTTGGACATGGAACAATTAAATGCACAATGAGATTTAGCAGATCCCATCCTTTGGGTGACTAAGCAGTCCAATATTTCATTCAGCAGTCAAACATTATTTTAATGATGAACGCCTAATAAAAAATTGGAAAAATTAGACTTCTTTAAGTATATGCATATATAGGGATTATTTTTTTAAACGTATAACAATTTATAGTATATTGTATGAAACTGAAATGATATCTTGATTTTTAATATCTATTAAACACTGATCGATAGATTATTTGAATATATAGAAACATTTATTCTGACATGCACTCTGATTATAATGAAATATTTGTGAATGACAATTTCTCTTTCCATTTTAAAATACTTAAAAAAAATAAATGTAAGTAAATTGACTAAGAAATAACGGAGTTGGACTCAAAGAGTTTCACAGGTGCAATATAAAACTTTGTTCATAAAAGAATGCCTGTCTAAATTGTAAGAGCAGGCATGTCCAAAATGTGGCATTTCCCCACAATTATAGTTCTGAATTTCTAAAATTCTAATTTAAACGATCCTTAACTCGATACAAAAAAATTTAATATATGTACATATGAAATGATTCATATATCATGAAAAAGTTAGGAAGTACAAAACTAGATTAACAAGTAGATATGTTTATAAAGTGAATTGAAAAAAGTCAAAACTGGAATATTTACACTTAGCGTTTTATCATTGGAACCGCAGTTCATTAGGACACACACTTCAAAATCTGTGTCCAAAAACACCTCCTGCTTCAAAATTGCAAGTAAATATAATTTGCAGTCTTCTGTTATTTTGGCACCGAATTCCAAAGGGACAACACCACTGAGAGACTCTTCACGATTTTCAGTATTCGCGATTTTTTGTTCAAAATGTTGCTGGTTATTTGCAGCAGGTATTTCAGTAGAAATGCCACAAATAATGTCCCAAGAATGTGAATAAGAACGAAATAAAAGAAAAATGAAATGAAGAATGAAATAAAAGAAATTGAATCTTTTTTTCCTCTTCTTTCAATTCACAAGTTAACAGCAATTCTCTGTAATGACCAACCATATCATATATAGAGCGTGGCACACTAGGTCTCAGAAAATCAAAATAAGTTTCCATATACCTTGTATACATATATAAACATAAAAAGTGAAACAATTATGTTGCTATGGATTGCCGTTGCCATGGTAACGAACTCACCTACTTTCCCCTCCTGAAATGCTTCTTTTTCTCACAATAATCGAGAAGATTGGAGTGTTTATATTGCCGTTAATACATTCATTAAAGTTCTGATCATGATACGTGTTGTTAATATGATGAAAAATGATTAGATTAAAATAATAAAAAAAATTCTAAAAAATGTTACAATATTGGAATATCGTATGCTATTAGGAGTCCTTGAGTAGCTTTGGAAAAGGTCAAATTTGGTCATTTTTCAAAGACGTTTTACATTCGAATGCAGCCATGCAGGAGCTGGGCATGATAATATCTATGAAGGGGACATACTGTACTATCAATATATGCAATAAAATTTTTGGGGCAATTGGGTTTAAGAGTAGTAACCATGGAAACAAAATTGACATTTTCCCCTTTTTTAAAGTTAAGATTTGGGTCATATTTCAAAGAAGCTTTACATTCGAATGCAGCCATGCAAGAGCTGGGCATCATAAAATCTATGAAGGTGGCATACTGTACTATCAATATATGCAATAATATTTTTAGGGCAAATAAGTGTAAGAGTAGTAACCATGGAAACAAAAGTGAGATTTTCCATTTTTTTCAAAGGTCAAATTTGAGGCATATTTCAAAGAAGTTTTACATTCGATTGCAGCCATGCTGGAGCTGGGCATAATAATATCTCTAAAGGGGGCATACTGTACTATCAATATATGCAATAATATTTTTAGGGCAAATAAGTGTAAGAGTAGTAACCATGGAAACAAAATTGACATTTCCCCCTTTTTTTAAAAGTTCAAATTTGGGTCATATTTCAAAGAAGCTTTACATTCGAATGCAGTCATGCAGGAGCTTGGCATCATAAAATCTATGAAGGGGGCATACTGTACTATCAATATATGCAATAATATTCTTGGGGCAAATAAGTGTAAGAGTAGTAACCATGGAAACAAAAATGAGATTTTCCATTTTTTTTCAAAGGTCAAATTTGGGGCATATTTCAAAGAAGTTTTTCATTCGAATGCAGCCATGCTGGAGCTGGGCATAACAATATCTATAAAGGGGACATACTGTACAATCAATGTATGCAATAATATTTTTGGGGCTAATGGGTTTAAGAGTAGTAACCATGGAAACAAAATTGACATTTTCCCCTTTTTCAAAAGTTCAAGTTTGGGACAATTTTCCCATTTTTGAAAGGCCAAAATTACAAAAAAGTTAATATAAGGGTTCAATTGTATTTAATATCTGATTTGCCCATTTAAATGTATCTAAAGGAAGTAAACACAACACAATCAAACAAGCATTTGATCATACAATCTGTATGTTGCCATAGAAACATATAGGCATATCATAACTGGCAAGTATTAAAATTGATTGATTGTCTGATTGTTTGAATTATAATATATCAATAAAAACGTCAAATATATCAAATTATTAATCAACAAATGTACATTTGTTTGTTACAGTTATATATGAAATTTGGCTATCGCATGTGCATATCGTCAGTGCATACCTTAAAGAGAGAACTGCCAATTCCTATAACAAAATGACATGAGATCTATTTTGACTAGCGGGAGCTTAACGTACTAAGCATGTGGGAATGAACAGTATGGTATTTTCCAAGTTGCAGAAATATTCAACAACGATCATATTACATGTACATAAAAATTTTATAACTTTCATTTGAGCTGCATTTTCACAATCTGTCAACTTTTCAGCAACTGGTAAATAATTCAAATGTTAGGCTTTATATCACAGTTGCAACATGAGTTTATAATTTACATTGCACAAAGGCATATATTTCTAATACATGTAGCTGGTCTTACAGTAAAATTTTGTCACATATGTTGAAAAACTAGTACAATGTTGTATTACATATCAAATTTAAAAGCTAATCAACAGATATAATCGATCTCCCCCACCCCTCACCCCTACGCCTAATTATTTTGATCTAATAGGAGATTCCTTATCTGATCTTTTCGGTCTTCTTCCTCTGAGGCACAGAAATCTGCAGCAGTCATCCTCTTCTCCTTTTGACAAAGACGGGAGAAGAAAGAAGATATCTGCTGACCAGAAAGGAATTCTGACCTACTAAACAGTCCACAATTCCTCATCTCCTCCGCTGCAATATACGGATCTACTTTATTGCCAGTCCTCTTCCCAATATCGAACTTCTCTGTCATGAAAGCTTTCTGCCCAGAAGTGAAAGTTACTCTTTGTCTGTTTTCTTTAATGGCCCATCCCATGTCTAATTCTGAACATCTACATACATCAGTATTGCTGTGGGACTCTAAAACCACAGATCTTTGTGGCTGGAAAGACAAAATCTTATCTGCATACATCCTCTTTGCCTTCTCTGAAACGTTCATTTTGGCATCGCTTCTGAAACTACAGTTGCCCATGTTTACATGATTTTCAAGAGCCTTTTGTGTAGAGAATGTCTTGGAGCAACTTCCCTCCGGACATTCCAGAACAGATGATCTAGATGGATTCTCCTCACTAGTGTCCTCTACAAATCAAATCATTCTTTGTTAGATAAGATGTAACGTCTCCATTTAAGTAAAAAAAAATCTTGAGTGAGACGCAAAACAATAAATAAACAAAAAAACAATGAATTATTGTACATGTAAGCTTTTCTGGGGTTATTTTTGGTTGCTGCTTAGTGGCTAGAAAGTAAGAGTAAAAAATCCCTAATCAAACTGAAAATTACCAGGAGTTTCTTCTTCCATTTCTGAAATTCCTCCGCCAATCCATCCAGCCACTGTCTTTAGTTCTACAGAATTTTCTGGGGCACTTAGATGATCCCAGGTTAGTAACTTTCCTATAAAGAAACATTGATAGATATTCATTTTAAAATGCATAAACAAAGGATGCTGCTTGAAATATGAAACCTCTTATGCCCCCCCCCCCCCCCCCCCCCCCCCCCCCACTTGGGCATATATATCATAGGGTGATAAATCTAGATATCAAATTTCATTTCAGTGTGTGCAATCTCTACAAAGAAATGAACAGAAATAACATATTATTGGGATATATCTAAGCCAAAGGATCAATAACTGTGTCAAAAATTGCCCGATCATACCTAAATAATTGTGGTGCTGCCTCTTTAAAAATAGTCATTGATAAAAACATATACCTGTGTATCAGTCTTTGTCGAAATCGGCAAGAGTATTTGCTGATAAAATAATTGCACACAAATCATTCCCCATAACTATCATATCAAAATACACTTTGAATATGTTCTTCATTACCTTTACCAACTGAATAGGCTTTCCACATCCTGAGTCCACTTTCTGTAAATTGGAAGTTGTACATCTGCGAGATACATGGTATGGTGCTTTTTCTGGGTGTTGCATCCAAAATGTTTACAGATGTGACAACTTTGACTCTAAGGTCATCTTTATTTTCCTTGTCTACAGCCTAAAAGACATGAGTTAACAAGATTATTATAACTTATCACAAAAACTGCATATTGTCATCTATTCTGATGACCGGCCTTTTTAACAAAAACCTCTGGGGCCACATTGCCCAACAGACAGACAGACCACTCAATCACAAAAACTCACCTAACCAGAGTTTATTAACAAATGCAAGAATTAAAAATACAAAATATTGACACATTTTGAAGTCAAATTTAAGAAAATATAGCTGTGCGGAACAAATAATAATAACCTGTTTCATGTGCTGTGCTGTTGTGACATCATTGCCCTCATTGACATGGCGTTTGATGATGGATTTGATGTGAGAAGCACGTCTATCACATGGCCCTGTAAAATATGACATTTTTAAAAAGTATAAACTCACTTATATAAACAAAAGATATTCAATGGTTTGTATTCTAATATGATTTATAAATTTCTATCCACAAGCCTTGGCAACTTCTTTATATATCACTATGTTTACAAAATTAACCTTATACATAACATGTATTTGTTTCATTGATTTTTATATCATCCGCATGATGCAGTGGTTAGAGCAACGGTGCAATGATCTGATGACTAAGAAATAGCTTGAATGTGCATCTATAATAAAACCAACAAACGAACAATATATACTTTATATATATATATATATATATATATATATATATATATATATATATATATATATATATATATATATACCTTTTCCATTCTGTGCCTCACAAAAGTTGTAGGACACTATACTGGAGGGAAGTTCATGTTGAAGAGTCAACAGTGTGGAGGAACTTTTGTAACATCCAGCATTGTCTGAGAAAAAATGCAACCGGGTTACATCTTTCTTAAGGGCCATTATATCCTTTGAAACATCCACAAGGATCTGTGATGTGACTGCTGCATCCTGTGCTGTTGGTTGTTCAAATATATGGATGTGCGTTATCGTAGAATAGGAGCAATGATGTTTTAGAAGTGAAACGGTTATGTGCCAGTTTATGCCCCTCTTTGCAAACCAGTCTACTTGTCCTAAAATAAAGAAATTATTTTTTTTTCAAAGAAAGATTAAAACAATGTCACATCAATGATGTTGACAACTGGAGAGACAACTGAAAAAAAACCAGACAATTAGAAAAGATTAATTGAAATATGAAAGGCTGTGAAAAGGGTAAATTAGAGCACCCATGAATCTCAAATAGATAATGAAAAATGGAGCCAAATCTGTTGACGGATAGAGCTATGCCTGAGGGAGATGATCCTTCAGTTTGAGATTTAAAATCTATAAATAATTTTAGACAGTCAAAAAAAAGTTGAATTTCTAAGCAATTACCAAAGCACCTGGCTACTATGATTAAAATCAAAATAAATATATCATCTTTAATGAATCCAAGTTCCAATCAACAAACTAAAATGTACCTTCTCTATATTTCCTTGGAAGAAATTTCATAGCCCAATCACAAGTGATGACAGCATCAACATTTGTCATGTTGTCAACAATCACGGATCTAGCCTCCTCCTGGTTTCTTGAACGAATCACATGGCTTTTCCAGTTCCGTATTGCCGATATCGACTCTTCTACCTAAAGAAGAAGAAAGAAAATTATAAGATTTGTTAGTGAAACATTTACAAAACCCTTATTCAAAATAAATCAGATACAAATTCAATTAAAAGGTATACCAATAAACCTCAAAATGTCAACTGATAAATCTATCAGGAAGTTTAAAATGGATTAGTTTCAAGGGAGGAACAAAGCATGTAGAATATATTTAAAGTACATATATATATGGAAACTTGGTAAGGCATTACAGTGTACAAAACAGCTTCCTTGTTTCTCCATTCATGTATCTCCGCCTTGCTCTTGATGAAGTTTAAAGTGGTATTCATGTTTACACACTCTTGGCATGATGAGTCATGGTTATGATCACATAAAGTTTTGAAGTTGGAATCTGTTGAACTCAGAGCATATGACAGGCAATGATCAGCAACTGGGTTTTCCCTTGTGACATGTACCTACAACACATTGAACAAATTATATTGATTGCTAAATGAAAGAAAAACTAAACTGAATTGGAAATACAAATGTTGAATACATACATGTACATGTATATTCATATATATTGTCACTGTGTTTGGCAAACACTGGATCCAAAATCAAGTTTGTATATATTTTTGCAATTAGAATTGAATTCTAAATAATTACTTTTGTGATTACCTTTAGCTCAGATTTAAGGTATCGCTTTGCATTTTGCAGATTTTCTTGCACAGAGTTGGATTCCATGCTTGTCAATCCAAGGTCTTGGACTACCGACTCTAGGTCTTTAAAAGCTCTACAACCCTCCATAACATAGTTGTCAAGACCTTCAATGCTTTGCCTGACCAATGCAGAGCAGTCATCTAGGAGTTTGTACAATGTGCTTGAACCTGTTTTGAATAAAATTAGAAAAGTTTAATCAAAATGTAAAACCAGAACTAATTCAACCCTTAGACTACTGCAATAATTTTCATTGCATTTTAGTGCAGTGCTGAATAAAACAATGTTACACAATTTATGAAAAAAAAAATATAAGTTATATAAATCCCCTTGAGGTAGAAAACACCAAAACTACAGAGAAAATATGTTCTATAATCTACCTTTGAAAATATATCCTCTGTTATGTAAGGTGTTTTAAAAGCCTTATGGAAACAGACAGCAGATGTATAATGCCTTCTCAGTCTTCAATAGTGGAAATGGGCAAAAAAAACTTTAAAATTTTTATATATACCTAATGGCTTTATGTTCTCTTCATTGCATACTGCTGTGTATTGGGCTATTATCCTTGATGGCGCAAGACTTCTTATCACACTTGGTATCTTGATTATTTCTCCACATGGTAGTTTCAATGTCTTCTCTCCAAAAGGCTGATCTTTTATAATATGACTGGAGAGTATGAAATCAATGAAGTGATCCAGCTGACTAACATCAAACTTTTCTCTGACTTGTTTTCTCTTGGACACAGGCTCTCCAATACCAAACTGGTTGCAATGCTGTTTAGCAGCCTTAAATTTGTACTGAGTCACGTCAGGAACAAGCTAAAATTTAAATAGAATATTAAGTTTATGTGAAATAAGGAGTGAAAATATATAAGTCTATAATAGGGCTGGGACGATACAGTGTATCGGTGCATTGCGATATTTTTTCTACGGATCGATACACCCACACAAATATCAAAACTTTCATTTTTTTTTTTATACTTTTCAGAATGACAAAAATATATTATGGTTACAACCAAGAGTGAAAGTAATTTCTCAGCTCCAGTGAACTAAAATAAAGAAATGTTCATAGATTTTGATTTAAATGCAATTTCAAATCAACAATGTATGAATTCTAACAACTGATGTGATTCAAACATAACAGCCATGACAATGAAGATCTTTACATGGACTAAATTCTTACATACTTTCTTCACTTCTTCGAAGCTGTGTTGGTCAGATATGATTGACAGAATTTGCCTCTGTAGGTGCCATGTTTCTGCTCGTTTATATATCTCCACAAGAGTATTGAAGGTTGGCGTATCCTGATCTTTATTCTGCTGTTCTTGAAATATAGCGGATTTAATAAATTCAGCTTCTCCAGGACAAATGGTGTTGCATATCAAATCAAAGCACTGAGCAGCTTTCGATATGTATCGATGTTGGGTTCTTCTGCTGGCTTCAGTTATCTGCCCTTGTAACTTTTTAACGGGGCTTAATCCTGCAATAACAATGAATGTACCATGTATGATCATGGAGCTTATGGCTCGGTCTTTATTCTTATTAAGTAATGTTACGACCTTTACTGTTGACCTCTGACCCTGATGAACATCTTACCTACTTGAGAGTTATAAGCAATGTTATGATAAGTGTCGCTACAGCTAAGTCTCAAGATGACCTTGACCTTTGACCTCTGACCCTGAAAAACAATAGGGTTCTTCCTCTCATGATGGTGATCAAGTATACCAAGTTGTATGATTCTAGAGATTACCGTTTGGTCTCTATCCTGCCTGCAAGGCCCGGACAGACAGACAGACAGACGGACGACGCTACACCATAATACGTCCCATCTAAAGACGGGCATATAAAAAGGGTGACTACTGGACAGACACACAAACGCCAGACAAAGTGATCCCTATATGTCGCTATGGTTTGCAGGCGACACAAAAATGAAATAGATAGAATAAAGGAAACATGATATAAAAAGATCTTTGGAAAGTTGCAATATATAAATTTATACCTGACAAACTAAGCAACGTGTTCAAAGCTTCTCGGGGAGCATCAAGACTGCGATTATCATCCCAGCAGGAAACTGAGGAAGATTGACTAAGACTATTTTCCTGACTGCTCTCTGTGAAGTCTGTCCAGGCGATTTCTGCAGCTGGCAGCGCTGCCTACAAATGTAATCGCAATTATCATTTCAAAGAAATCGATACATGAAATCATGAAAAGGTGTTACTGATCCCTTAGTCTTACATATGATGTATTGACGTACCCTGTATAACTTTGAATAAAATTCATAAAACTTAATCAGATAAACAGAATATCTGATTAACATAATGCCCTATTCACCAAATTAGTAGTCTTTATATCCTGCTCATGATTCTATTTGAAGACTTCATATAAGGTGTAATATTACTGTAATTATCTACATTATTGATAAGATTGAAGCATAAGTTTTACAAGTACTTTCTGTTTAAACTGATTTATTGTCATTAACAAGGTCAATCTTTTAGTTCACAAAATAAAATATGTGGTCAAAAGATGTAAATTTGTTAGGATTGAGACTAACTGTCAATGTATATTAGTGCTATTCTAATATCAATATAACAGGATTTTGAAATTTTGCATAACAGAATATCAGAAAGAAAAATAAAGGACAAATAGAAAAAGCTAGGGTTTGGTGCAGCAATATCATATCAGGATATCCGAAATATCAGATTATGAGATATCTGATTTAATGGGACCCACTGTATAATAACAAACAGACAAATATACTGTTACAGTAGTAGATGTTGTTTTATCTTACCTTTCTCGTACGTTTTAATGGAACCGGGTTACAATCTTCGAATGAGTCTTCAATGCTAAACTGAAAATAGGATGTTGGTTGAAAGCATATCTTCTTGTATTGTATGTAATATACCTTACATCTACGTGTAAAATAAGAGAGAAGTACACATTTCCTGGCAAAAAAAAACTAAAAATTTAATGTAATCAAACATTTTCTCACTTTACAAATATTATACAATATTTACCAGCTGCTCAGACTCATTTTCATTGAAAATTTCAGCCTCCAATAATTCTTTTCTGCAATTTCTGCATATACCTGCAATTGTTTTAAAATTATACTAAGTAAGTTGTATTAACATATATCAGCTGACTTAATAATAATAACAAAAATAATAACCTTTATTTATCCAGGATAACTCAATTAGTTTAAAACTGGTTTCCATTGCCATTGCATAAATATAATAAATTATAAAAGTCTACATATAACATAATATTACTAAGGAGACAATGATCACTTCCTACAAATCAAATCTGACCAAATGCAAATTACTCATTCAATGAGTGTACACTGCCAGTGAGTGTACAAAAGTTTTTTTTTTTTAGCGTGTCGCACTTTAAACATATGATGATTTCAGGAACCAATCCACTCAGAGTGAGAAATAAGATAGAAGGGTAGAAGGACATGTAGCAAACTATTATCTGTAATTAATAAGGTGTTTAAACTAGAACAAACAAAATAATAAACACGTGTTTACAATCGAAAACAAATCCTAATCTATTGATATGCTTGTCGATAAACACACTCTATTACAAAAAATGTTTCATTCAGTACATATATTAATTATGATTTAAAATAAAATTACTCTGATGTATATAGTATCTATAATAGATCTAATGTGATCATCAAAATGTGTATATTCTCCTTATTTCAGCAATGAAACATTAATTTCATTGTAGTGAGCTACCTATAGATTGAATATTGTTTTTGTACTTATTGTATTCAAATCAGATAAAACATAACCCACTCACCTGTTCCAACTGCCAACACAACTCCAAAATTCTCATGTATAGTGTATACATTTGGAAGTGTCAGTGTTCTGTCAGATTTTCTTCTTATGCCCTTATGAGTGTTAAAAATGAAAGGGATTTCACAGAAGTTCCGTCGTTTTCTTCTACTGTTTGTTTCCAAAACATGGACAGAATGGTTTGCACAAATTAGAGAAATTTCGTTGAGAAGGGAGCAATCCGAATTCAGTACAAATAATTACGCTTTCGTCGTTTACTTTCTCCGATAAACGCTCAGTTTGGTCGGAACACTTGATATGTGCATCTTTTTCACGAAAATCGCAAGCCATTACCAAAACCTAACTAGAACAATATAAAAACAAGAGGCCCCTGGGCCTTATAGGTCACCTGAGCATTATTCAACAACTTTCCAGTGACTGAATTTGATCCATGTTTTAAGCCAGATGCTATAGCATTTACAATCTGGTCATCATAACTATACTAATAATATTCAGCAATAATCAGTAGTGCCGCTACCACACATGAACCCTTGACTCTTAGGCCTAGATTTGCACTATTTTTGGAAAGGCATACTTGCTTTTCAAAAATATTTGATTAATACCAAGGAGCACATTTCAAACAATTCATTCATTTTCAGTACATAAGTATGATGCCCCCCCCCACTATGGTACAACTGACCCTGGGGCCTTGAAATTTACAATTCTTGAAGATTAGGGATTGCTCATAACTATATAGGTAATTCATCTGCTGAAAACCTAGGAGCAAAGATGAAAATATTCAAAGATTTAATGTTTTTCACTATACATGTATAATCAATACAGCCCCGCCCTAACACCAGAATCCCTGACCCTGGGGCCATAAAATTCACAATTTTGGTAGAGGCACTCTTGTTCATCATAACTATGTACTTAGTTAGTTTATTTAATACCCAGGAGTAAAGAATAAGATTTTCAAGAATTCATGTATTTCCTCTATATAATTCAATAGAGCCCCACCCTGACACCAAACCCCTGACCCTGGGGCCATAAAATTCACAATTTTGGTAGTGGCACTCTTGCTCATCATAACTATGTACTTAGTTAGTTTATATAAAACCTAGGAGCAGAGAAGAAGATTTTCAAAGAATTCATGTATTTTCACTATATAATCAATAGAGCCCCGCCCTAAAACCAGAACCCCTGACCCTGGGGCCATAAAATTCATTTTGGTAGAGGCACTCTTGCTCATCATAACTATGTACTTAGTTAAATTATATAAAATCTAGGAGCAGAGAAGAAGATTTTCAAAGAATTCATGTATTTTCACTACATAACCAATAGAGCCCCGCCCTAACACCAGAACCCCTGACCCTGGGGCCATAAAATTCACAATTTTGGTAGAGGCACTCTTGCTCATCATAACTATATACTTAGTTAGTTTATTTAATACCCAGGAGTAAAGAAGAAGATTTTCAAAGAAATAATGCACTTTCACTATATACTTATTTAGCCCCGCCCTAGTACAAGAACCCCTGACCCCAGGGCCATGAATTTCACAATTTTGGTAAAGGACTCAATGCTGATTACAATCATGCAAACAGTTTGACTGCTTGATGTCCAGGAGTAAAGAAGAAGATTTTTGAAGATTGCATTAATTTTAGTGGTTTTGGCCCCAAACCCCAGGGGGGCAGGGATCATGAAATTCACAATTTTTGTTCCCCTTCACCCATAGATGCTTTGTGCCAAATTTGGTTGAAATTAGTTCAGTGGTTGCAGAGAAGAAGCTGAAAATGTTCAAAAGTTTACGACCGATTGACGACGAACGACGTACGACGGACGACGACAGACAAAAACAGATAGCAATAGGTCACCTGAGTGACTCAGGTGACCTAAAAACTCCAACGACTCAGCCCAACACCGGCATCTTTCGCAGACGTATCTGACGTCTGACGTTCAATGTTTTTGTTTACATGTCGCCTTTTTGCGGTATTGGTTAAGTCGCGCCATATATAGGTTCAGTGTTACCTTCAAAAAGTCGAAATATCGCAAATTTGTTTTAATTATTAATCAAAAAGTGTATGATAATGTATATATTTATTTATTCATTTAAATATATATTCATATTCATTGATTGATACTGATTGATCGAAATGGTTACGATCGATATACTTTAATAATTGACTTTTCTACCTCCATTTTGAAGAGGTAATCAAATGGGGAATCCCCTTTTACAAAAATAACGTGCAGATTTCGCTGTATTCAACATGAGATAGAATGCCAATTTCCAATAGCCCCAAAAATGTTTTAATGGTCTTGAAAACTACACAATGCAGGGATTCTGTCCGATATCAGGAATTTTACTGGGATGGCTGCGTTTTCTTGTATTTTAAGCGGGTATTCTGGTTGAAAAAAGTCATTTTTTGTATAAAAATCGATACCGTGTTACCCTTTAGAAGTGCAAAAAAAATCAAATACGTATTATTTATATTAGATACATAGTTTTTCTTAGTTTAAAGTTTAAAAAAGTCAAGAGATATAAACCTCCTGAAAAATAAATCGCCTGTAAGTGAAAATTCACATAATGTCAAAAAATAGAGAATTGAACCTCCGTTACCATGGTAACGAGGCACCAGATGCATGACCTTCTACAGACTTTTTTTCATAATTTGCCACTCTGAACACTTCTGGAAAGTTTCAACAAGATTGACAACTTTGCGTGCCCATGTATGGTTGGTGGTTACAGAGAATTGGTATTAATATTTCAAAAACATGCACTGAATAAAGTACATGTAAGACAATAATAAAAGTCCTAAAAATATGTAAGAATCTTATGGTAAGAATTTTTCAATATTAATAGGATATGGATTAGATTGTTATATTGTAAAAACATCTCTCCTTACATGTTCATTGGGATGAATTATAAACATAATCTTTATGCAGTCCTTTGCATGTTTTCTTGACATCAGGGCAAAAGCAAGTGGAACCTGCTCCGGATGTAGGCAGGAATGAAGAACAGCTGCATAAAGGGCTTCCTAACCAGCTTGAACGTGTCATCCACAAACCACTGCTTCGATGACGTAAGGATTCCGAGTTGCTGGTCGGTGGCAAAGATAAGGTCTCCTTTCTTTCACCAGGATGTCAGCCCTGAAGAATCCAGACTCATTGAAGTCCTCAGATATTAAAAAAATGAAAGCCATGTGATACATTTTAAAGCTTCTTATTTAATAATTTTTTTTAAAAAATATACATTAACATTTAAAAACTGTATTTAAATTAAATTCTCTTGCCTGTAGAAAGTTTTTATTAAAATACATTAAAATGTATTAAATTGTCTCTAAATTTTTTTTTATAAAAATACATTAACATTATCAGAATATAGGTAACTAAAATGCTTAAATAAATTATATAAAGAATTTTTAAAATTTACCTGAAAGTTAAGGTTCTTTGGTTAATGGTATATCGTATCACTGCTACAATTTCCATACAACTTACTTTTGCTGCAGGATAAAACGTCTCTTGGGAGACGTTTTCGATACATAGTTTAATTTTTGAACGGTACTTAATCCGAAACTATAATACTCTGAATTTCCGGATTGTCTGAACTGCACAAGCTGGAAGTGGTACACGCACTTGTCTTCCCAACCATCCCCAGCACCATCTAGCCAGTTGACTGTACCCTATGTAGCGCATCCGCCTATAAAATATTACAAGTATTTTGATGAATAACAAGAGGCCCAGGGGCCTTATAGGTCACCTGAGTATTGTGTAACAACTTTCAAACAATTATATTTGGTTCGTGTTTGAAACCGGAGGCCATGAAATTCACAATTTACAATTTTGAAAGAGGCACCATTGCTTGATCATAATTATAAACTTAGCATGCTTACTCTATTTACTTAATACCCAGAGGTAGATCAGAGTAACAAAGAGAAAATGCACTTCCACTTTATAACCAGTTGTGCACCTCACCCACTGACCCATGGGCCACATATTTCAAAATTTTGCAAATTTAATCATAAAATGGTTGATTAATACCAAAGAGCAGATTTCAAAGCATTAATTTATTTTCAGACTATGTAAACCCCCCTCCCTCCCCCTCTGACCCTGGGGGCATAAAAAAACCACTTTGCTAGATGCACATTTCTTCATCATAAATATATATATACTTGGATCATTGGCATAAAACCCAGAAGCAAAGGAAAATATTTTCAAAGAATTAATGTATTTTTACTATATAATCAATATAGCCCCGCCCTAACACCAGAACCCCTGACCCTGGGACCATAAAATTCACAAATCTAGAAGAGGCACTCTTGCTTATCATAACTATGTGCTTAGTTAGTTTAATCAGAGAAGAAGATTTTCAAAGAATAAATGCATTTTCACTATATAATCAATAGAGCCCCGCCCTTACACCAGAACCCCTGACCCTGGGGCCATTAAATTCACAATTTTTGGAAGAGAAACTCTTGCTTATCATAACTATGTGCTTAGTTGATTTAATACCCAGAAGCAGAGTAGAAGATTTTCAAAGAATAAATGCATTTTCACTATATAATCAATAGAGCCCCGCCCTAACACCAGAACCCCTGACACTGGGGACATAAAATTCACAGATCTGGAAGAGGCACTCTTGCTCATCATAACTATGTGCTTAGTTAGTTTATTTAATACCCAGGAGCAGAGAAGAAGATTTTCAAAGAAATAATGCATTTTCACTATATAATCTATAGAGCCCCGCCCTAGCACTAGAACCCCTGACCCTGGGGCCATAAAATTCACAAATCTGGAAGAAGCACTCTTGCTCATCATAACTATGTGCTTAGTTAGTTTATTTAAATCCCAGAAGCAGAGAAGAAGATTTTCAAAGAATAAATGCATTTTCACTATATAATCTATATAGCCCAGCCCTAGCACTAGAACCCCTGACCCTGGGGCCATGAATTTCACAGATCTGGAAGAGGCACTCTTGCTCATCATAACTACGTTCTTAGTTAGTTTATTTAATACCCAGGAGCAGAGAAGAAGATTTTCAAAGAAATAATGCATTTTCACTATATAATCAATAGAGCCCCGCCCTAACACCAGAACCCCTGACCCTGGGCCATAAAATTCACAAATCTTGAAGAGGCACTCTTGCTCATCATAACTATGTGCTTAGTTAGTTTATTTAATACCCAGGAGCAGAGAAGAAGAT